TATCTTGATGTAATTGTTTTAAAATTAATCTTAATAGTTGACGAAAAGTTACACTAAAAAATAAAAAGACTGTTTTTTTTTGAAAGAAAAAAAGAGAAAATTCTTTTTACATTGATTCAATTTTTAAATTTTCATTTTTTTCAATTATCATTTGTAATTGTTCAATAAAATCAAAAAGTTGTTTTATACCAATGTAATATTTATCAATTGGATGAAATGATTTATCATCCTTATTTATGAAATCTTGTTGTGACGATGATATACGATTTAATATTAATTCTTTACGTCGAAGGAATGAAAGAAGAATTTCATATATTGTTAAACATTTATTTTTTGATAATTTTGATAAACGTCTCAGTTCAACAATTATTTCGCGTTCAATACCATGACGTGCAGATGTAATAAGACAATGTATAAGTGCATGTTCATTGCGTGTATCAAACAATAATGATAAATATGTGCATAGTGTATGTTTTATAGAATCCTATGTAAAAAAAAAAAGTTAATTTCTTTGATTTAATAGAAAGTAGGTCGAGGTCTAAATGAGAATTATAATCAATGTAGTCTATTCTAGATGATACCTTGACTCAGCTGAAACTTTTGATTTCTATTAATTTACACATTTTTAATCTGTCTCTTGTTTTTATCACTATGTATGTAGTCGATGACGTCTCCCGTCTATATACAAGTAGTTTAGGCTTTAAAATTTTTCTGTCATCTTCTCAGTAGATCAATATAGTGTTAGTGCATTTTCTCTATTTTCCTACATACTCGATGTATGAAAATAATTTTTGCAGTCACTATAGTAATGTCAAGTAATGAAGCGCTAAAACTAATAGTATATTGAGATCAACGAATGTTTTCATTCAATTACAATTACAGTGGTACAGAAAATTCTGAAAATATACTCATACAAAAACCTTCATTCCTACAAATTCTCCTGTGTGAGAAACGAATATTTCCAATATGCATTTGTATCTATGACAAACGATTTTAAAAATGATAATGATATATATTTGAAAGTTGAATTTTAACAGAAAAAGAATCATCAAAACATTCTTGTAATGTACTCATTTTATTTTTTTTTCTAAGCTTTTTTAATGTCAAAAATTGAGATGCCGCACAAAAAAAAACATTCGATATTAACAATTTTTTGCAAAGAAAAACTATGATTGATTTATTGCTAATGAAAACATAAAAAGTTCATTACTCTATTAATTTCTCCAATTGATAAGATACACAGTATCTGTAATCATTGCGAGTGATAGTTTTTGTAATCTTAAATAAATAGAAACAATTGTTTTTCTGATAAGATTAAGCTAGAAACCCCTCTGTATAATTAAAGATATAAGCTAACGTAGATACTGACGTCGACAACGTTTAGTTAATTAACAATTTTTTTTTTTATTAACACTAACTTTTATATTTTTTGGTTCAACCGGTATCTTTCTATTATCAATTAATTTAAATAAATTTTCTTTTGTTTCCGTTGTTATCAATTTTGTTTTGACGTCATAAATATAACATGATGACGATGATAATTCTAGTAAATATTCGAAAAATAGTCGATCCATATCATTTTTAATATTATTAATCGATAAAATAATTGTCTTAATAAATGATTCTAATTTTAATTGATGAAAAAGCTCAATGATATCAATTAAACCACAATGATTTAAATAATTATTATAATTTTCAACCATTAAATCATTTTTGATTTGTTTTAATTTATTTTTACATAATTGAAAAAATTCAAATAATGATGAAGATTGAATTAGTTGATAAATACTAAACATATCATAAAAACCAATTATATTATTTGGCTGTAAACATTTATTATTTATTATATTTATTTCATTTGAATGAATTTTTGTAAAATAATAATCAACAATCCATGATGATATTGATGAAGATGATTGAAGACAAAATAAAGATGAATCTTTAGAATCAATATTTAAATCTTGAAGAATTTCTACTTCATCTTCAATATTGTCAATTATTAATTTAATCTGCATTGATCTTTTTCTTCGAAAAAAAAATAATCTAAAATTAATTACACACACGCATAGATTTAATATCGCAAGTAATAAGACAAGGAAAAAAACACTGATATTGTTCGAATATTTATCATCACAATACAACGTGTTAGAGTTTCGTTCTTTCCTTTTCTGTTGTTTATTTATTATGTATGTATAGATATATAAGATGTTACATGTGCTGATGTATATGCATGATCTTTATTATGTGTAAGGAATGCAAAACAAACGACCACATACATAATATATATTTGCAGAACGTAAAAGAAGATACCAATAGAGATGGAAAGAAGGTGAAAGGAGATAGAGGATGATATAGAAGAATGATGATGTCAATGTGCGACATCACCATATCATACTCGCCTATTCAACAAAAAAATGTGTCCTATCAACATTTTTATAGTAGCATAACATAACAAATATATATAACGCGATCATAGACCGAAACGAGTCAAAAAAATCGTGACTCGACTCGAGTCGAGTTGTCGAGTATCGACTCAAAATGCACATTTATCAGTGACCATTGATCATTATTTTGTTTTTATTAAGACCTTCAAAGTTTGCTTTCTTTATTTGTTATCTCGAAACTAAAGCCGCTAGGTCGCATGAGCCTTCTGTCTTACGAGCCACATGACTTACTCGAATTTTCGCGAAAATCAAAAAGGCAAACTCTTCTGAAGCCTTGGGTAACGACCGTTTGCCTTCTGCGTTACACACATAAGATAGAGCTACCAGGCATAAAAAATGTTGGAGCAAATACCAGTTATACATCTGGGATAAGTGAAATAGATGACTAGATGGCGAAGGAAGTTAAGATCAAAAGGCCATCGAGGAAGCTTTTGATTTGATTCAAGCAAACACCATTTCAGACCACAAGTTGGCCGAAAGTTGACAGTAGACGAAGAGAATAATAAAAATTGCTATTCTCTTCATTTTCAAGTGTACATGTGAATGAAAGCATTATGTCGCTCTTGCAAGTGTCACCTGAGAGACACATTATGTGAGGTATTTGAAGAGTCGAGTCTTGGAAGTGTGACTCGACTGCAGGTTTGACTCGACTCGGCTTGACTCGACCTACTTTCGGAAAGTCTCGACTCGACTCGGTTTCGATCTATGTTTCCTACACCTTAATAATTATGCTTTACTTGAGAACAATGTGTACTAAAGTAAGAAGATACAGATGCAATGGTCATGATAGGTAAACGATCATATCAAAAAAATAGAAAACTTTGCGTAATACATGTTCCTCTGGTTTTAGTACTTTTCATGGCCGTGGTAGAATCCATCGTAATCGTCATCGAAATGTACGTTATAAGTAGACATCTGTTACTGAAAATTTTGAATTCATTGGATGCAGTAAAATTTTGTGTTTCATCAATTCGATTTCTGTATTTGCTGTAATTTTGACTCTCGTTCGATTCTTATAAAATAAATTTGAAACTCAATTGGAATATCGAATTGTTTCAAACTGCTATCGTTAATTTCTGCTGTTTCTCAGAGATGTGGGTGTAGGTGTGTGGACGTATATGAAAGCAACACAAGCATCCATACCCACATCCAACCCACACCCACCCACGCCCACGCCCACGCCCACACCCACACCCACACCCACACCCACACCCACACCCACACCCACGCCCACACCCACACCCACACTCACACCCACACTCACACTCACACCCACACCCTATGTTGACACACTACAAACATAGCAGGAAGTTATGATGGTCTTGGCAAATATACTGAGGTTGCCAAGCGTGCTCAGTTGACTCTCGGTATTACACGTCACAACTTTCCTGATTATCATTCAGATGTGACGAGGCGAGAGCTTTTATTCAACAAGCTTAAGAAGATATTCTGTGGATAAAACTTTGACTTTTTATCGATTATATGATGGTTTCTATAATTTAACCGTCAGCTTCTTAATAATAGTAGTTGGAAATATTTGACTCTTGTGTTCTTTGTCTGGGGAGAGACGTAAAAAAGGTACGTAAACTGCTGTCTTAATCATTTATGAGCAAGAATATTGGAATATTCCAACGTATTTTATCGGTAGAAAGAAAAAAACTCGGGTATTGCGCCATTACCTAGATAGATACGACAACGATCAGAACAACGTTTAAGCATCTCAATGTATAACCAATTAATAATGTTTGATGAGTCACCAAAAGACGATTTAAAGCAGTTTAAGGTTAAGAAATTTGCAACACATTTTTTTCTTGTTTAAACGCTCAGAGTTGCTACGACTTTCAACGTTTTACGATGTGAGTGTGAGTATGGGTATAGATATTTCGCTGCTATATAGAAATTTCTAGGAGACAAGAATTTTTAATCAAAGCTTACAGAAAACAATATAGTCGGCACGATTTTCTAACATAATTTCTCTACTTTTGTGTAAACTCATTCACTGAATTCATGCTATCGTTTGCAAAAGTCGGTTCGATATCGCTTTTTATGCTTGCTTAGATCTGAATATGCGCGATAAATTTGGTTTTATCCCAATGATTCCCTTTGTAAATGATTATACCAAGTTCCACTAGTAGTGTATATGGTGATTGATATTGCTCTTATGATGCTTAATCCTATATCAATGTTGTCACCTTTCGTCTCTTTGGTAGCTTTCACTTCTTAAGTGAATCAGCTCACCTTGATCTCAACATAATTAAAAACAAAAACAGCTGGCTTTGCCATTGTAAAACAGAACAGTATAAGTTCATTTTTCAATTGAGCATTTGATAAAAGTTCAACAGCACAGACAGCACAGATTTCTATAATTGGATGGTTGTTTTCACAATACCTTAGAGTAATGTAATGAACTCATCTATTAGTCACTTGATAATTTCAAGTATAGGTACGAAATCATATTGTACGATAAATTAGTTTTATTTTTTGCCTCGGTTAATGATTGAAGAAAAAGAATAGCTGAAATAAAAATAGTATTCAATAGATTCTTGTGTCTCTTATGTTGATACGGTCGCAATTGACCAATTATTTTTTAACCGTAACCCTGTCACCTTCTTTCAAGCCAGCTCTATCACCTTGATTCAAAATAATACATCCATGACTTGCTGATCTATCTCCTTTGCCATTGTCGCCATGAACTTGGAAACTCGATCGTCCAAACATGTTGTTTGATGAATCTGGTGTTAAATCACATCGTTCACGAGATTTGCTACAACTGTTTGCGATTGTGTACTTTCCTTCGGGAATCGGACCTCGGTTCGATTTTGTTTGATCTGTTTCCCCCTTGTATCCACTGTAGGATGATGTACATTGACCAGTTTTGTCATTACAAAACTTGCCTGTAGATTGCTGATACGAGTACGACATGTTCACTTCTACAAATAAAAACTCCGTATTAGTCACATAACATCGACTGGTATATTTGGGAAAATCATTTTCAGCTTTTCATGGTTCGCTAAGAATACGTACTTTACGAGTTGGAAACCTTTGACTCTGATGTGCTTTGTCGTCTGCTGAGAAATATGAAAGGTACTGAAACTACTGCAAGAATTATTTATAAGCAAGATTATTGGAATTTTCCAACTTACTCTATCGATAGGAAGAGAGAAAGCAGGTGTTTGTGCAACTAATATAAATTACTCAGAGGTCATTCGTTCTGTGTACTCCTTACTGAGCAAACGTGTTTGTCTTCTTTTCCTTCTACGCACATTTTATATATATAATCATGTGTACGCCATGTGTTATACAACTGTAGTAATAATTCGATACTCTTGGGTGTAGGTGTAGGTTTGAGTCTTCTATTATCTAACATCCACACACACCCATATCCCTGTCCTGTTTAGTTTTATTATACTGATGCAAAATACAATGTGAAATCTCTGCAAGACGGCAGATCCTTTCCCATGATGATCGATTTTCATCTTTGTTATTGCTGTCTTCTAAAACTAGTATAGTTTCCTTAATTTTTAATCGAATAACAAAAAATATATGAGAAGAAAGATGCCATTTGTTTAAACTACAACTTATATTTCATCTGGATTATAAAAAACAAAATACTTATACAGAGGATTGATCATGGTATACATCAATGGCATATAGACAGTAATATATTTGAAATATGCACTGTCAATTTTTTGTCTCAACGATGATTAAAACATTTGTGAACATACTGAAGGAAGATCTATTCTTATAAATAGATGTTGGTTTCGAGCAACTTCGTTAAATGAATACTGAATTGATCATCTAATAGTGACATTTATTTAATACTAGCGGCACTCGTGCAAAATGCACGGCTGTTTTTTTTTTCATTTTTCTCAATGTAAGGATCTAGAGTTAGTAAATGAATGTGTTTCAATAGAAGCAAAAGTCTGAAGTGCGGTTTTCAAAGAGTATTTGGATGTCTTTTTTTATTTTATGAAAATAAAAAAAAAATATTTACAAAACGTATCTGAAATACAATGAAAGCTTATGTACAGTATTTACAAAACCTATATACACTATTTACAAAACTTCATGAAAAACTATATTTCTGGTTGTGTTTGTTTTACTATCCCAGGTCAATGATTCCGGACAACAGATCCTGCAGGAACCGGCAGGAAAATGCGGGAAAATTCACCGTATCCTGCAGGAAAACACCGGAAGTCGCCGGAACTGGGTGGCAGTATTCCGG